ATCTTCATCGGGTTGGTGCAATATTGAGGCTGGCGTGCCCTAGGGCTCAATATTGGGCCCACTGTTATTCCTTGTCTATATAAATGATATTGTGTTCGACATAATATCCATTATTATACCCGCACTTTCTAAAGAAAGTTCGGGTATATTGTTGTTACTCATGTCCGTCCGTCCGTCCGTCTGTCACACTTTTCTTCCCTGAACTCCTCCTACATTTGACAAAGTAGCTTAATCATCTTTTGGGAGATGGTTGGTGGTGTCATGTAGATGTGCAGTAAGGTTTCGGAATTTTGATTTTGCCCTGGGGGTCAAATGGGGGTCGAAAAATGACGTTTTTTATGCTAAAAGCCCCGTCTTCCCTGAACTCCTTCTACATTTTACTCAGCAGCCTAATCATCTTTTGGGAGATGGTTGGTGGTGTCATGTAGATGTGCAGTAAGGTTTTGGAATTTTGATTTTGCCCCGGGGGGTCAAATGGGGGTCGAAAAATGACGTTTTTTATGCTAAAAGCCCCGTCTTCCCTGAACTCCTTCTACATTTTACTCAGCAGCCTAATCATCTTTTGGGAGATGTTTGGTGGTGTCATGTAGATGTGCAGTAAGGTTTCGGTATTTTGATTTTTGCCCCGAGGGGTCAAATGGGGGTCGAGAAATGATATTTTTTATGCTAAAAGCCCCGTCTTCCCTGAACTCCTTCTACATTTTACTCAGCAGCCTAATCATCTTTTGGGAGATGGTTGGTGGTGTCATGTAGATGTGCAGTAAGGTTTTGGAATTTTGATTTTGCCCCGGGGGGGCAAATCAGTAGCCTGATCATCTTTTAGGAGAGTTAAATATTTTGAAAATTAGGTAAAACATCAACATCATAGGGTAAAAAATCATAGCATGTAGGAAACATCTTGAATTCTTACGAGTATTGTACATGTCAAATGTGAAAGTCATATCTCTTCTCAATCCAAAGTTATAAGCAAATGCAATATTTTGAAAAGTAGGTTAAGCTTCAAGGTCAAGGTCACAGATTCATGATTTATTTAGAAAGGTCTTATCATAGAAAATAATATACATGCATGTATAATATGAATTCTTTTAAAATAATGAATTTAAAACAATGTAATTTTTTTGCAAGTAGGTCAAACTTCAAGGTCATGGGTAAAAAAAATCATGGCATTGTCACAGGTAGATATTGATTATACGTATGTGTAATACAAATGCCTTGTCTCTTCTCATTCAATAGATATGACTGTGATGACCAGGGTTAAATTGACAGACTGACATACAGATGTACATATACTGATTTCAATGTGAATTCGGTTAAAATTGGCCCAGTGGTTGTAGACGAGTTAAAAATGTAAAGTTTCCATACAAACAAATGGACGACAGACGTAATGTGATTAAAAAAACCTGAAAAGCTCAAATGAGCTAAAAACATAGGATTCACATGTATTTTGTAAAGGTTACATGGTTACAGTATTTGAAAAACTTTTTTATGCAATTTTTTGAGAAACTGAAAATGTATGACATATGTATCCATTGTTGAAAAAACTGAACATTTCAGAAAACAGTACGTATCATTAAAAATACTCATTGACAATCAATGTGTTTTGAGTAGCAAAATAAAGCTAGTAAACTTTTATAGCTAATTCAACCACAGAACTTAGTCAATTTTAAGATGCACAACCTTTTCAAATCTTATAATACATGTAATTATTTTTAAAATATTTATGTAATCAAGAGATACAACCAACATGTTCATGTTTTATGTTATTTTTAGTAATTTGTTTGTTTGTTGTGAAAACATCTATCTCGGGAATTTTTCCCTCATATGGAGACACCGCCACTTAAAAGTAATGAAGACAAGATGTGTTTGTTAAACACTGATGCCCACGTATGGCAGCTTATGGCGAAGGTTTCTCAAATGTACCTCAAACTCAAAGGTCAAGGTCAAAGGGTTAAAATTGATGGTATCGAAAGAAAGTCTTGTCACAAGGAATACACATGTGAAATATAAAGAAATATAAAGAAATCCCTAGTACTTCCTGTTCAAAAGTTAATTGACAAGGTTAATTTCTTTTTTTTTAAGTGCATGGGTCTAACTCTAGGGCCAAGGTCAAACATATTTATACCTGTTGAAAGTTTATAATGAATACACATGTTAAGCATGAAAACCCTAGTACCTACTGATCAAAAATTTAAGCCAAATTACTGATCAAATTTCTGCAGACAAACAGTCAGGCATTATTTATAAACACAAGAAACAAAATATGTATATATATATATATAGTCAAATGGAAAAAAAATCTATTTTGGAGTCACAAGATCAATTGCAATTTCACGAACAGGGAGTGGCTAGGGAGATTGGACCCCCCCCCCCCTTGGAGTTTGCTTTCTTATTTAAATAAGACTATATACTGAAGCAAATAAAAAAATTACTTTGGACATCATCCCCCTTAGAAAACATAGACCCCACGACCCCACTATCATTGTTTTTATTTTGTTTTCAGTTTTTTGTCTTTGCTTGTAAGAAAATTCTGGGCTGACATTTTTTTGACTGAGGTGTGAACCCCCCTCCCCCCTCCTGAAAAAAAATCTGGATCTGCACCTGTACATAATGTAACCGAATGTCACATCGACAACGGGAGATAACTTCACAATGTGAAATCCGACTTTACTGTGGCATGCGATGATCTTTGAACTTTAACCTAATCTAAATTTTGCATTTCGGTTCATTTTACCCCAATCTATACTTAAACGTGTACTTACCGACTGTCATAGGTCCTGTGAACTTCATGAAATATATAATCCAATTATAACACAAAATGATTTTTTCAATACACATCACACTGCAGCATGTGCATGCTATCCTATTTGACAAACCTTGGCTAAATGCAGATGAAGCACGAATCGGCCGAGGTGTGCCGAGTGGTGCTTAATCTAAAAATATGATAATGGGTGACGCAACCCAATGTAATGTAGAAATTTTCCAAAAGGTGTTTACATGTAAACACGTATACCCGGTGGTTCAAGAACAAATTTTAAAATTAATTCATAACAAACTATGTTTTAACATAACTTTTCCATCTTCATGTGTATCCTATTTAAAAAAAAAGTACGGTTCGTGAGAGTGTGTGTGTGTGTGGTGTTTTTTTTTGGGGGGAGCATTATTAAATTTAAAAAGGTACCAATTATGAGCAAAACATTTTTTAAAATCTAATTCACACATAGGCGTCTGAACCGGGGGGCTTACCCCCCCCCCTTTTTTTTTTGGAAAGATGGACATTTTCTATGTATTGAAAATTGGGGTTTACCTTTTTTGTTGGTTTAGCCCCCCCCCCCCCCTCCCCACTTTCAATTTCCTTCCGACGCCTATGAAGCATATAAAATACATATAAGAGGCACTGAGTCATAGGTCACAAAGTCACAGGGTCTGAGAATGTTATACTTAATGTGACGAATACATGTACTGTGTAAATTATAGAATTATTTGACTTTTCCTTGGAAGGCTTTAAGCCTAATATGTACGAGTGTGTATTTAGAGGCAAACACCTTAGTGCGGGTATTACTGTCTCATGACAGCATCTAGTTAAATTATTTGCGGACGACACCACTTTTATATATATTGTTGAAAACCCGACTATCGCAAGTACAACTTTAAATAGTGATCTTGACAAAATCCATAAATGGTCTAATCAATGGTTAGTTACCTTTAATCCTCAAAAAAACAGAAAGCTTAACAATCAGTACCAAACGTAACCAAACTTCACACCCAGACTTGTATTTGAATGGACAAAAGAGAAGTGAAGTGTCACATCATAAACACCTAGGATTACATTTTTCAGACAACGGTCATTGGTCATATCATGTTAAGGTTGTCTGGCTAAAGCGTCATCTAGGTTACACATTCTAAGACGACTCAAATTTTTATTAGACAGAAAATCCGTAGAAAACTATACTTCTCATTTGTAAGACCGGTTATTGAGTATGCAGATGTAATTTGGGACAATATCCCAAATGATTTAGCTGATAACTCTCTCATAGTCACAGGCGCACTAAACTTAAGTTTAAATGATCTTTTTCGAGAAGTTGGGTGGGATACATTTTTGTAATCAAATTTTGGTCTATGGAAGTGCGCCTGATTATTTATCTTCTTTAATTAAGAATCAATGAAACACACCATTATCCTGTGCATTTCAACAGAAGTTTACGAACCATTATGCACAATCTTTTTACCATCCACTACAAAAGGGAACAATGTTAATGTTCAAGAAAATCAGTATCTAATTTAAAACGCGTGCTTAACACAAACTGTTATAAAACCCCAAAATATTTTTTATTTGGTAAGCTACGACTTAGACGTAGTACACTTAATTCCCATTTATTTGCAAAACATATAATATAATCCTAATGGAAAAATCGAAACAACAACACACTTTTTATTAGAATGTCCTCTTTACACTGACTCAAGGAAAAAATTCATTGACATTAGGACCAGTCACTTTTTCTTCTTTGGAGATTCTACTAAGAATTATTCCTTTAATACCAACATTTTTAAACATGTGCATCAATTTACTTCTGCCTCTAAAAGATTTGTAACTTGAATATTATGGCCGTATTGCTATTATGTTTATATGCATTGTATGACTGTGTTTATTCCTCATTTACTATCAATGTTAAATGTTATATCTCTCTCTACAATTTTTGTTTCATCTTTATTTCTTAGCTGTTATTTTTCCCATTATAATTGTCATTCAACAAGGGCAAAGTTGAAAGTTAACTTAAGGAAACGGATTTGTTTATTTATAGTTGAAAGTTAACTTAAGGAAACGGATTAATATAAGTTGTTACAACTTGTTTCCGAATCCTGTTTGTACTATGTATTGTGTATATATGATGTCTAATTTAAATGAATTAAAGTTTAAACTAAGTATATGTCAGACAAATAACGTTGATGTTAACGCATCCATTGAAAACTTTCACCTATTTCCATTTTATCTATTGCAGATGATAGCATCATGAAAAATATTAAGAATTCCGTGATAATATTTCTACATCGTAAAGGTAAGCTACTCCCTTGTTGACTAGTTTTGACCCTCGTTTTTTAATAAATTATAAACATCCGTGTCAGGGTGGGGGATATCAATATCATTAACTCTGAAATATTTACTAGTATTTATTTCCTTTCATTTAGTCTTAATATATTATACAAATGAAAGTAGGGCACTAAATTTCCCTGTATAAAATTCTTTAAAATTCATAAAGTGATTTGGTTTTAATGGTTGGGAATGTAGTATTTTCTGGACTCAATGACAAAAAAAATTAAAGACATATTTTCATCAGCATTTGCATTTCACTTATTTGTTTTTAGAAACATTTTTCTATTTCAGGTAGAACATTACTAAAAGTCCTAGCAGTGGTGCTATTCGTTTATTTCATCTCCCGGAAATTTCATTGCATGGTCTTTAGACTAGAAAATGCAGTTTGCATTTCGATCACAGGACGTATGGCCAATGCTATGTTCCAGGAGGCCTTTCTTTATTCATTTTCAAAAAAGAGGCATAACTCTGAAGTAGTATTTAGCAGTGAAAACCCTCTTGCTGACATATTTACCTTAGACGGTTTGAACTGGAGGTACGATAATACATATTCTTGCTCGTGTTATTCTCTGTACCAGGATAAATGGAACTGCGCCTATGATGAATCGTTAGAAAATCTCAAACTTCCTCTGCAAGTCTGGGGATTTTTTCAGTCTTGGAAATATTTCAAAGGTGATGAAGAGGAAATTCGCAGAATGTTTACCTTTCAACCCCGTCTACAAAAAGCAGCCAAGGATCAACTGGAAACCATAGTTGCTTCTTTTGCAAACAAAGGGGTGACTGAGAAGACCGTTCTAGTAGGGGTCCATGTACGAAGAGGAGATTACGTGAACAAAAAAGAATATTTCTTTATAGACTACGGTTACAATGTGGCCACTGAAGCCTATATTCATAATGCCATAACCTTTTTTCAAGAAAAATATCAAGATGTTCTCTTTATTGTGTGTGGTAATGGCGTCGCGTGGGCTCGAGAGGTTATGAAGAGTTATGAAAGGGTCCACTTTGTGAACGATATCTCTCCCCCACGAGACATGGCCCTGCTTACTAGGACCCACCACACTATAATGACGGTGGGGACCTTCGGGTGGTGGATAGGGTGGTTAACAAACGGCACCACCGTGTACTATAAAAATACCTATCAAGAAGGCACACACTTCAGTAAGGAATTTAATGGCGGTACTAAGGATCACTTTATAGCAAATTGGATTGGTTTAGACTGATAGTTTTATTCAATAAGCATAATAAATTTACCCTTTTATTTTTTTTATGCAGCTGTACACAATTTTACCTGATTTTGTGATGATGTCTCAAGCAAAGGTGTTCACCGTAGATGAGTTCGTTTTCCTTTATTTTTGTAATCATGTTCTGGATTTTAAAATCATTTAGTTAAGTTTTTTCACTGTCATTATAGTTTTAGTGTTCTTTTTAACTCTGACTATGGCAGGTACAGAGCCTAAATAATAACATCAGCATTAATAAATAATTATACAAATATAAACATTAATTCTTAAAAATACATCCATTTTAATTGATGGGCTGCAAAAAGCTTATCATAAGGTTATCACAATATTTAATCTAGGCTAAATTAAAAGAATTATTCTCAATTTTACTCACAATGGTAATGCACAAAGTTAAACATTAAAAAATCCATAATGTAACAAAGTTACTTAAGAATGGGTTAATTCGAGAATCCGCAAAATCAAATTACATGTATATAATACTTATTTTGTTTATTAGTTGTTTAAATGGGTAAGGTATGGAAGTGTGTTAATAAAAATTAGAATACTTTTCTAAATGCATCATTACTGCATTTTTTTTTTCTAACAGTGCATACAGATTTGATTTGTCAGTGTAGAAATAGCGTGATCGAGGGTATATTAAATATATACGTCAGCTTTCTTCAAATAAAAAAAATTAAGATATAATAAGAGTTACTTGTTACATGTATCAATACTGTTTTGACTTTTGAAATGACCATGGAATTGATGTTTGATCAATTCAATCTAAATTTTTTTTTCTGAAGTTTACTTCTGGTGTTGATCATCATTTTTTAACAAAACTATCTAGAGGAACGCAAGTGTCGCCTGCTTTTAGTTTCATATTTATCCACGGATAGTAACAGAATAAGACTGCGATTGAATCTGATAATCAAATACAAATCCTTAACCCCTAAAGCTAAAATGGATATATTAATAAAATTAAATTAATAATTCATCAATTAATAAATAAGTACGTGATTTCAACAATCATTTGGTCGCCCGTGTGGCACAGTGGTTAGAGCGTCTGCTCTAAAGTCGCGAAGTAAGGACTTGATCCGTACAGTGGGACGTGGAGACCGGTCCTTCAGATGAGACCGTAAAAACCGAGGTCCCGTGTCGAAGTAGGTACTGGCACGAAAAAGATCCCTCCTTGCTCAATGAACTTCAGTGCCGAGTATAAGACAAAATTTGCAGCTCTCCATCGTCAAGTAGTGGCGTCTCCATATGAGTGAAAAATTCTTGAGATGGACGTTAACAATATGCAATCAATCAATCAAAAGCTTCTTGAAATATACCCGGAAATGATACTTTAACATACACACACAATCTTTGAAATTACCTTGACCATTGACAGTTTGAACTATAAAAAAAATATAGGGGTCTTCCTTAGGCCATAGGGAGTGGTGATATAACATGTCATTGCAAAAAGACAAGGTATCTCCGGATATAGTGTGCAAACGAAAGTGTTTAAAAAGGCAGAAATTTTGAGTTTATGACCTCGACCTTTGAACTTTTGACATCAAAATCAATAGGGACCTACCTTAGTCGTGAGCATTTGTACAAAAAATTATTGCAAAAGCTCAAAGTCTTCTTGAGATATCGCGTGGAAACCAAAGTAATATATTTTGCACATACATGTATATAACTAGCTGCAGAACTGTAGCTCTCCGAAAAAAAATGAGAGACCGGAGAGCTACAGCTAGTGCCACCCATTAAAAAAAACTGAATACATGCATTTATTGCGCACAAAAAGTTGCGCTTGGTTCTGGATTGATTCTTCCAAATTCTTACCTCAATTGCAAAAAAGCTAGATTTCAAAAAATTCCTTACTTCTCTATCAAGTACTCTCGTAGTTTACATCTGCATAAAGCACATTAGACTGAATTATCTTGCAAAAAAATGACAGTAAAAATAGACGAAATTTTCGAGGATCTCAATCTCAGGGCCAGGAGGGCTATTAAAATCAATAACAAGGAATGTTTTGTAGTGGAAACAGTGAAAGAATATGTAAGGAACAAAAGGTAAGTAATATTTCGAGATGAAAGTTTTAAAAACACGGAGAAATAAATCGAGAAACAGCACACTTTTTTGTGTGCAATAAATATACATTTTTTTCAATGGGTGGCGCTGTACATGTAGCTCTCCGCTTTGTCAATATATTTTTTTGGAGAGCTACAGTTCTCAGCAAATATTTAGCTTGGCTTATGGCTTTTACATTTTACCTTGATTGCCGACATGGAATAATGCGACATCTAACTCCGAATACGACATTGTCCAGACATTTAAATTACTATTATTTCTACCAGTGATTTAAAAAAATATATATCATAACACATGCGTGGTGGGATTTCTTTGCATTATCACATTGTTTGATGTTGAACTCACAAGTCTGCATCCTTTGGAAGAATGTTAGGATTTTTAGTCCCATCAATTATCCCACCTTTATTCCATGTGTGAAAATGTGTCATCATATGGGATATTTTCTCCTGTGGGATTTTTTTTCTTCCACAAATGTCCAAATTGGATAAATGTCACGGACATTGACAATGAGACATTTCTCCAATACATTGTTGAACTTTGAATATTTACATTTGCTGATGTCTTTCCTTATTTAACAATGCTAGCACTAATAATTGAAATTCAATTTTCAATGACATGCAGTTGGTCACATGATCAGACATTCTTGCGTATGGAAAGCAAATTGCACGAGCAATTTGGAAAGTTCTGACTGTGACGTCACATGACGTCGTGGATATTTTACATAACTAGACCACGGAACCGCTTACGATCAACGACAATTATATGCAAAGATGAAGTCACATACATGTATATATTCACGTTAGATATTGTCAAAATTTTACACAATGCATGGTGTCTAATTTAGCCTTTATTAAACAGTTCTAATAGTTGTAATAAGAAAATAAAGTCCGCCGAGAACCTGTTTTGTGCGTAATAACTCTCCTCATGCCGCTGTGCTAAAAATAGCGACATGTAATACAATAAACTATTTACATTCAGTGTAATTTTCCTTATGAAATCCATTAGAAATCTACGACGTTCAAATTTCTATAACACTCGCGAAACCTTGTCACCGCGCGTTAGAATACACAGTAGGAACTATATGCATTTTCAATACTCTAAGAACACTAAATTCTAAAATGTTTTATTTCAATTTAATGAAAAACTTTAAAGCGGCACAGTGAGTCAAAATCATATCTTAATTTTAAGATTCTGTAGCATACAGAGAAAGACTTACGAAAATTATGAGTATATAGCGAAGATATGACAATTCAACTGCAAGAATTGACTGCACAATATAAGTGCCGGAAAAACAAAGGTTGTATTAACCGTTTCGTTGCTTCGTATATGTCAAGGTCACGCTACTCTTATTTTTAGCTCAAACTTGTAAACAAAATTCAACTGGAGCATGCAAAGGTGAGAAATATGTTCTAACAACTTTTTAAAAAGATTGCATCAAATTTTTTGGTTTATTTATATTCATTCGTGGATACCTGAGACCATGGTAACTATGGAAACTTATCAAACACTTTTCTGCGCACGCGTATGATAGGAAGGAAGAAGTACCAGGCTATTTTGCAATATTTTCGTTCTGGGGCAGACAGAAATTATTTTTACTTTTATTTTTCCCCGTATAATTTTAATTTTTAGGTTCTGAAACCTGAATTTTCTGAAACCTAATACTTTAAGGAATTGAACAAAATTTACAGAGGTCATGCGAAAATTCTACATTTGTCAATTTTCCCCCTTGTGCGTCACTGTGCCACTTTAACCCTGAAAAATTAATGTAAAAATTAACGTAATGTGCGTTAAGAATTAATTTGCCACTTTTTTCCTCGCAATGTTTGTTTGTGTCATTTAACTTTGCAACGTCATCTAACGTCATTTGACGTCACAAACAGCTCTTACATCTATTAACAACGACAGTTTTGAAGGGGGCTAAATTCATATTTGAGATTAACGAAATAAGCAATTATGAAGAAGGAAAATTAGAGAATGTAAATATAAGCATTGAATTCATATTTTTGGATGTCTTCGGTCCTATAACACACCTGGTCGTGCCGACAAATTATCATAGCTAACGCGCGGTATTCAACTTTTTCGGCACGGCCAGGTGTGTCATAGGACCGAAGACATCCAAAAATATGAATTCAATGCTTAAATAAATACAAATAAAACAAACGGGGCGGGACACTTTGAGATGGCTGAGAGAGGCCCAAGGGTATTTTAGTATAAAATTACATGTACATTGCAAAAGCTCAAAATCTTCTTGAAATATCGCCCGGAAACGATAGTGCAGCAAACAGACAGAATATATAAATTTACGACCTTGAACTTTGACCTTTTGACCTCAAAATCAATAGGGGTCTTCCTTGGGCCACGGGGAGTTGTTATGTAAAATTTTATTGCATACGCTCAAAGGGTTCTCGAGATATCGCGCGGAAACGAAAGTGTTATAACAGACAGAATATGCGAATTTATGACCTTGACCTTTGACCTTTTGAACTCAAAATCAATAGAGTTCTTTTTTAGTCCATAGGGAGTTGCTATGTAAAATTTCAATTCGAAAGCTCAAAGGGTTCTCGAGATATCGTGTGGAAACGAAAGCGTTACAGACAGACAGAAAGACGGACGGACGGATGGACAGACGGACGGACGGACAGACCCAAATTAATAACCCCCACTTTTCAAGCGGGGGACAATAAAAGTTAACTTGACCTTGACCATGTAGACCTTTGACCTCTTTTGCAAAATATACTGCAGGGAGTAAAATTTAACTGACATCTTTTGAATTTAGAGAGGCAGGAATATGATTACTAACATTTATACATGTTTATTAGCTCATGACAATAAAAAACTCATCATATTACGGAAATATTTTTTTTCAAATGCATTAAAATTTTTATTGTGAAAAATTGTAATAAACGTACGTTCATTATTTCCATATCATTTTACAGATTCTTATAACATTAAAATATATCAATGCGTGTCGTCATGTGGTGCAGCGATTAAAACGTTTGCACTGGAGTCACAGACCTGAAGACGTCGATCCTTACGTCACGGGTTCGAATCCCACTATAGGGCGTGGAGATCGGCCCTTCAGGATGACTGAGATCGTGAAACTGAGGTCCTGTGTTGCAGTAATTAAGTGCTGGCCAGAAAATTATTCCTCACTACTCAATGACCCTTAGTGATATAAATCTAGATTTGCAGTCCGACAAAGGCAATGAAGGTGCCT